CAATCGGTCATACTACCGATCAATCGTGTATTTATAAACTCTTTAGGATCAATCGATCATGGTTATACTGAGTACTCACCAATCAATCGTGTCACTATCAAACTCTTGCACTGTCCTGTCTCGACCACCTGGTATACGGGTCTCACACGATAAAGCGCATTATTACTACACCGTACCTGAGTAAGTTAGAAGTTGAGGGATTAGCCATATCAACCGATCAATCGATAACCGATCATTATCATTACCCTATATCCTGATAAGCAGTAAGCATGAAAGCGACGTCCATTTTTCTCATACTTTTCAAAGAATCCGTGGTAGTGCCCTTTCGATGCCATGTCGTACCCAGTGCTTCCACTTGTTTTACCCATCGTATGATGGATCCGGATCCCACTTAGACGGTAGCCTCCTCTTTTGCGGAGCAGTCAGGTTAGGTTAAATGCTCGGTAGACGGGTTTTGATGAAGCTCCCAGTCAGAGAAGGAGCTTTCAGACTTCCACAAGGCAAAACGAGTTACCCTTTCCTCCCTTTTCTGATTCTTCTCCCGACCCGCAGGCTAATTAGTAGCCATCAGATGAGGTTATCCCACGATTACTCTCGCTCAAGATCAGCTACTTCTATAAAGTCACCTTGACGGCCAGATGTTTGTCACTGAGATTTACCAACATATGCTCCGATTTTCCTCCAGCAGGGGTGAATAAAGCGACCTGAAAGAGTTTTTTTTTAGAACACTACGAATTGACCCTTAAACGATATACGCAGGAGGCCGGCAGAGAACTGCCTCACTCACCTCGGGATCAACGGACAGTACTTGATCGGGATTAACTGATGATTGATTGGATTTTCCGACATTTTCATTATCTCGACTCATAAACCGATAGTTGTTATAGTTAAACGTCGAAAAGCAGATAAGGCTACCACGGTTGCGGTGGGAGGTGAGCATAGAAATGGCTAGTTAGTGGAATGAGCCTTTTATACTGTGGGGTTATTTTGATAAACACCATCTTCTGGTTATCTATACGTGATAGTGATAAGGATAAAGGATGTACTTCTGACGTTAATCAATCTTGTTTGAGGGATGCGCCACGTACTCGATTCCCATTCATAATCGTAGTGAGTGCGTAATAAGTGCTTATGTGGCCTATACAATGACTTGCGGTGGCCAGCCGTTGTACAAGCCAGTGCTTTTATCTTCCCAGACCTGGGAGGATAAAAAGAGTCTCGTACCAATCCACCCACCCCGGAGAGATGGATGGCTTGGTTGGACTAGGTGGATATCGATCCGGGATTGAATCCGTGGCCATGCGTGTGTGAGGTGGGCCACTTGCCACTACACCACCTCCGCACCACGTGATAGGATGCTATTTTATTACTTATCCCTAATGTTACAGTGCGCTTAGTATGCTCACGGACGGCATTCTACAAGTCGAATAGGAATCTGTTTGTGCTTCTGTAGACAACTGACTTCTTATGACTACTCTTTATTTGGAATACCAACTTTCGTTTAAGGTTTTGTCT